CATATGGTTTATGCATCAGCTTAAAGCGCCAAAGGTAGGCGCAATAAGCGGCATCAAATCTGAGGACGACCTTACTTCTACCAGAGATTTCCTTCATCAGATCTGAAGCACAACTCTCCCAGCCTCTCCCCGCTCCTCCGACCCCCACCCCCACTCCCGCTACTGAAGTGATGCAGTGTTCTATCTCTAACTTGCAGAATCATAAATTTGAGAAGCTGATAAAAAGTAAAAAAGCATACCAGGAGCAGGAGAAGCATTCGGCACACATTTACCATTGACGGCAATGATTGAATGCGCTTCGGCACCGGTTACCGTTTGCGGATAATGCACAAAGGAACGCGTTATTTCCGGACAGACCTCATAATAAATCTGCAAAAAAACTCACTGGTTTTTTTTATACAACGAAAAGCTCTTTGCAGACGAAACTAAACCCAGATAGATCCTCCTAAATCCTTTTTTTCGAAAAATCCCTAGACTTTCAAATAAGATTTTTGCACATTCATTTGGAAAACACATTTCCTTCAATAATCCCAGTTGAATTCGGCATAGGACCTAAACTCGAAAAAGTCCTCAAATCCTTTTTTCCAGGAAAATCTCTAGGTTTGGGAATACTAAGACTTTGCACTCTTCTTTGGAAAAAACACTTTTTCGAATAATCTCAGTTGATTTTAACTGAATTCGACAGCGAAGCTAAACCCAAACAAATCCCTGAATTCATTTCCCGAAAAATCTCTGGATTTCTAAATACGAATTTGCACTCTCTCTCAGAAAAAAACACTTTTTCATTGTCAGTTAACTTTAGTCAATCCAGGCAGCAAAGTCCCATTAAAAAGCTTTAAAATGCAAAGTAATCCTTCAAAAAGCTTTCCCTCCTATCGTATTTAACATAGCAAAAAATGCTCAAATTTATGTAATTTTCACCGATAACAAAGTAGAACGAAATGCTTATCAAAATTTGAATACAAAACTACCATTTTTTACTTGCTGAAAAAATACTAATACGCTTAAGTGAAAACACCCGTATTACATATGAAGTATGTTATTTCATTAGATAAGGACATCTCGAAACAGCAAAAGCTTTGGTAGAACCGTTACGCTGACAAACAGAATTTAGGAAGAGAGAGCAGCTAATCACTAGGAAAGCAATACCGGTCAAAGCAACTGGAAAACAGACAAAAATGGCAAGAAATAAGTGTTGCCAAACAAATTTTACCCAAAAATATCACCCATGCTTCATTTTTGAAGATGTTTCAAGTCTTGAAAATGGAAGAAGCCTGATCCACGTGTATTTTTGCGCCAAACTGTTGTTGGCAAATTTTCATCTTTCAGTTTTCTCAATTCCTCGAACAGTTGAAGCGGAGTGCCAAAAGTTGTAAGCTTAAAATCGCTACGAAACTAATTTATCAGACGGCTAGCACGAATTCAAATTCATCTGGGACCAATCCCATCCAAAAATGGGGTTTTTCAGAGCGAAATGAACAGAAAGTTACTCCCTAGCGAGTTCCCAATTCGGCAAGCGACTAATTCACTCAAATCAGCAACTTCAGTGTATGCCAACAAAATTTAACTCCGAAACATGCATTCCAACATTCTTAATTGGATAGCTTTTAAAGATGTAACAGATTCTTTCAAATCTTCGAAAGCGAATATTTTACATATCTGTTATTTATATGTCTTTGTTAAAACTTCAGAAAAGTTGAGAAAAGCGAGAACGCATAAAAAAAGTTGCATGTAGAGGACTGTGATGGTACTACGGAATGCTACAAGAACACAGAAAAGACTTAAAAAGCGGTGGAAGGATCTGTTTAACTGGCTATACGGAATTATGTGGATGGAGAAGCCCAAAACAGAGAAGAATGGAGAAGCTGCGAGTTGAAAAAGTGACGAGAAGGAACGCGACGCAGAAATAACCCAGACAACAAAGTACCAGAGTATTATGATAAACTTTATCAAAAATCTGCCTAATCAAAAGCTAAAACTACATCTGCAGTTGACTCTTCCTAAAAGGCGGGGAAGCCCACGAAAAGTTGGTACCATATTGGTACCATATTTCATCACCAGTCACCTATGACAAAAGAGTGATTGCCACGTGGTACCATTCCATGGTTCCTCCGAAAGTTACTCAGAAAAAAAGCTAATGGCGGTTCTGACTTATTGGTAGATGCCAGTATCAATTTACCATCAAAACGAATGAACGAGTCGTAGAGTGAATAAGAAAAAAATTCCCCATAATGAAATTGCAAGCAATACTTCAGTTAGTGAGAAAAAGATCAACGAATTATTATTAGGAATAATTATAAAGCAATAAGCGATTTTACAGCAAAATTTTTTCGAGAAAAGTTTGCAAAGAGGAACTTAATTCGAAATTCTGCAAAAGTAAAAATTTTATGCGAAAAAATTATTACAAAAACGATAATTCAATTTCTTTACATACATATGTATTAAAAAATACAATTTTATAACCAAAAAGGAATGTTTCGGCCCAAGAAGTCCTATACATTTCTTCCAAGCTAAATCGTGCTGATGTTCCCCGGAACGAGACTTCTTTTCCTGGCAATGATTAAATTTAATTTCCGGACAGGCCATCTCATCCTGATATTCTATAGTTGCAGCCAGTAATAAAAGAAAATTTTCGTTGAAATTGCGTGCACCAACCATCTTCACTGGGTCACTTTTATTGGACATTATTCCATTGAAATGTTGCCGTAATAACTTCGAACTCTCCCCCACCCTGCTACTAACTTCAGCTGTTCAAACTGCTAATATTGCTACTAGGAAAATAAGATTTGTATCTATCTATCGAAGGAACCTGAAAAACGATGGACACGTGTCTCGCCGAAGGTAAGGTCTAGAAAAAAGAAAAAAACATCACAGCATTTAAATGTTGTGGAAATTTTAGAGATATAAACAGTGAATATCCATGACCCGAAGATTTGAGGAGAGCTTAAAATCGTCTATGTATAAACATATGCAGTTGGTTTAACGTTGCTAGCCCACTGTGGAGTAAAACACACAATCGAATTTTGAAAATTTAACGAAAACATCCAGAGGTGACATTTAGATCTCAAATATATGCAAGCCTGCATTTGCTGTCATTTGGTAACCTCTCCTGTTTCATCCCTGAGCTGTAAACACAGACAGCATGACCGGTGCGAAAAGTAGGAATCGTCAGTACAATGCCCCATTTTGCCATTTGAAAAGGGAAATGTTGATCGCCTAAAGAAGACGATGGATTAACTAGCTTTGTTTTTTTTTAATTTTTTTTTTGATACTTTTAAATCATTAATGCTTGTGCATAATGGTAATGTCACTTTTAATTATTGCAAGCCTATAGTAATGAGCAGAAATAAACGAGGGACCGGGTTCAGGAAGGAAGTAAAAGGGAGGGGAAAGGAAAGAACGGACGAGGCAAAAATTTATGAATTTAGCAGCAGAATTCAAGTCATTAAAGTAGTACCAACAACAATGGCAATTTTATGACCTGCTTTACTATTATTCTAATTCTCCAGCTTAATACCGATGACCCATATTATATGCGGCTAGATCACCATAAACACAATCCAAAATTACCCATAAAACCCATTCGTTTGCGGAGTTTCGGTTACTTTTAACTAGGGTTGGCACAACCTCAACCCTCTCTCCTTCGACCCTTCTCCCTCATCCTCGTCCTGTAAATTTCGGGACACAATAAAAACATTGTCCTTTTATGCTCGTGCAATAAATTTCTCAATGGGCACAAAAGGGCAAAAAGTTGCGGCTTTAGGAAACCCAGCACAAAAAAAAATTGAAAGGTCAACAGCAAATATTACAACAGTTATGTGTACTACGGGAGGACAACTTGGGATTACTGGGTGATTCTGAGAATATCCAGAAATTCTCCAAAAAACATCCAGAAAGTTTAATTCGTTTTTACTGACGAGGTCCAGCTGTGGCGCTGAGTTAAGACGTATACAAATTAATGAACCGAAACATCTTAACCCCAATTAACTGCTCATATATTTCAATAATTAATATGCCCAATTTCTCAACTGTTTGTTAATATGTACTCCTCGAAAAGCGTTTACCATTCTGCTCAATCAGGCATTAACGCAATATTCTTTTACTATTCCCTAATAGTCACAATAATAACTGCTATTGTTACTCTGTTATTCTTTAATGTTTACAGTAATAATAACCACTATTCCCTTCTTTAAGTTTTTAATACTATTATTACTCTTGTCATAATAATAATTATTTTCACTAGTATTATCATGATACTGCTATTGCTTAATATTACAGAATGCTTACTTTTCTTTTGAAGACTTTAATTTGCCAGCTATTAAGGACCCTTTGACTAACAGGATAATAAAAAACTGCTTTTTTCTTTTTTGTGCTCAAAGGCAAGCGATAAAAGAGCACGAAAGGACACATTCACAAAAGTACAATTTTTTCTAAAAGCTAAACTTTTTTCGATTTTCCCACAGTGCAAGTGCATCTAATTTAAGATGTATGAAATTTCAGACGAAGTAAATAAAGATGAGTTCAGCAAACCAAAAAATTTCCAACTGATTAGAAGAAAACTTTTACATCGAAAAGCAGTGAGTACTAACTGGAGATATGCAGCTCTAATATCGAAGGACCAGCACAGCTAGGCCAAGTCCTTCGATCCTATATACCCCTAACATAGGATATCCTTATCCGGTGGATTTAGTACTTTTGGTATTTCCTCCAACTGGTTGGTACGTAGCTCGACTGCGGCGGCTGGGATGTGATACGTCTACCAGCAAACATTTGGCGGATGCCGGAAATTTGGTGGGGCTTTGCACCGCGCTCAGACACTGGACATGCGAATCCGTGATGTCCTCAGGGATAAGAAACGCTAAGTACCGCAAAAGTACCGTTGATCGGCTATATATCCTTCAAAAACTCGGTAGATGTGGAGTGGAATAACAGGATGTAAAGAAAAGTAGAAAGGTTAGTACTTCTGTGCTCAATACAAAATAATGAAACTTTCGAAAAAAAACATCAATTTTGACAAAAATTTGATGGAAAAAAACGAGTTCAAAAAATCGAGTTAAATTATTCAAAATTTTCGAATCGGCGAGGTCCATTATGGAAATCAAATTAATTTTTGTTTTTTTTTTGCATTTTTAAAAAAATTTTGCTGGTCGATCGAGTACTACTTGCCTTAACATTGAGTATCGATAAGCAGGCACCCGAATCTCGAAATGCAAAATATACAGCATCTTTAGTAACCGTATAGCTGCGAACTTCTTGATTTACAGCAGCAGTTGCTGGATCGTGCTTCGAATGTCGTCCCGTGTCGGCTGTTATTCGATCCACCAAATCCCTGCAAAATCACCTTCTTCATTTAACATCCTGACGCCTCAGTTTACAGTCTTGTGTGGCAAAGGTTAATTTGCCGACCAAACAATCATTTCCGAAATAAACAATAAACATACTCTTTCGGTAATCTCAAACATATGTCGTGGATAGGCAAAGTATTCTCATGAAACTGACCAGGCTGACCGCCAGCGATCATAAGCGGGTCCAGGGCAGCTTCCTAGGGGGAATTTTGCCAAATTTTTTTCCCCTTCTCGGTCAT